AAAGCTGGTTAGGCTACATAAATTATTACTTTACTTTTTTTGAGGTATTTATCATTTATGTACAAACAACATTTAACTTAAAAATAACACTTCTCTTTCAACAGAAACCTTGAACTGCCAAAGCGCTATCAACAGAACGGTTCTTTTGATATGTGTCACGTAACAGATAAATCAATGATAATGAAAGCTAGAATTGCCAATGGCGAAATTAAGTTACGATATTACAATGGAAATGCGAAATGTGTGCCCAAAAACAAGACGATTAAATTGAAAACAAGTCGTCGGTTTGAATGCAGACCAATAAAGCACGAGATAATTTCAGGATCGAACACACAAAACAAGACAATTATAATTGTAGGTTGTAAAGTTGTCATCTTCAACTAGATGCATGCTGCAGGACAGAAAACCAAAACTCGTGAATGGAACTTCTATGAATTATTGATGACATTTATAGCTATATTTAAAATCAATGCATGATGACAAAGATTCAGAACTCATTTTGTATAGATATTCTACTTGATAGTTGTGAGTGTTGAGACAGGAAATAAAAATTGTGCAATTCATATTGAGTCTAATTTATTTTATCTTTCTTTCGTTATTTTATCCCTGGATTTATCGCTTGTTTTTACCTATCTAAATTTTGATTCAAGTCGAACCCTTACAAACTGCAAACACCTCTCTTAGGGCTGTTTTATACGAGCCCGGTTAGCCGGGATGGCCGAGGTGAGACGTTAGCTGGGCTGAAGCGGCTGAAACATTAGCAAGCAAAGATTGGCAGGAAAATTATGTTTTATTGGGCAACTTTTCGAATAAAAATTATTTTATCAGCAAGATTAACTTAAGAAATAAGAGGTTATCCAGAAAGTCATCCATCCTTGTAAATACGAGGCTTTTATGCTAGCCCAGTTATCTGGGCTGTTAAGTTAACTTTACAGAGACAAATTTCAGCCCAGCTGACCAGGTGTCCCGTTTGAGCCAAATGAGATCCCAGTTTATCGGGGCTTGTTATATAAAATAAAATTGCTTTGTATAGGAAATTATTATGAAGCCTGTCGCAACGTCGTTTAGTACACGATTATTATTTATAATATAGCATTTGTAAATTCTGAACGCTGATTGGCTAAGAGCCGTGTTGATATAACTCAATGTCAACACGGAAACGTCGGGAAAATTATTTTTTTATGTTTCTTTGTGCTATATTATAAAACAAATATAAAACATTTTTTCCGTATTGATACACAGTTATATCAACACTCGTGGAAATTTGGAAAACTCGAAATTGTGTGAAAACACTCCGCCTTTCGGGCGTCGTGTTTCCACACAATTTCTCGTTTTCCCAATTTCTACTCGTGTTCATATAACTGTATATCAACACGGAAAATGTTTCATATTTGTTAAATATAACCCCTATGAAGCATTCACCCCTTTTAAGTGAATTGTTTTTTCAAATTTGTATGACAAGAATGCTTTTAAATGCAGTAAGTATAAGATGTCCCAAAAATATTCCATTTGACTTCTACATGTATACTTTGAATGATTACCAGAATTGTTACGTTTGTAATCTCTTAAGTGCTTATTATGGATAGATAGGGATTATTTATTACCTTAAAATCGGGTGAGTGGCTTTGCAGGCAAGAGTTTGCACAAGATTTCACTTTTAAAATACATTTATTTCTTCAAAATGTTTTACAAAGTTATGCTTCTAATATATATCGTCACTTGTTTGAGACGTTGCACTATCCGATTCGTCATGGTGGCTGCTTTCATCATTGTGGATGCTTTCATCATCCGAGATATTGATATCCTAAGATACTGGTTGATATCCTAAGATACTGTATGATATCCTAAGATACTGTATGATATCCTAAGATACTGTATAATATCCTAAGATATTGATATCTTAAGATATTGATTTCCTGAGATATTGATATCCTAAGATACTGAACGACATCCTAATATATTGATATGCCAAGATGCTGTAGGACATCTTAATTAAGATAATGCATGATTCGATCCTTAAGATATTGACATCCTAAGATATTGTATGATACTTGGAGCCAATCTCGACAGGCTTAGAGTCACTCTAAATAGCTCGTAGCCGAGTTCTCAATAGCTCAGAGCCACTCTAGATAGTTCATAGTCTTGACTATAGTCTTAATAGTCATGACTATAATCTTAATAGTCATGACTATAGTCTCAAAAGTCATGACTATAGTCTTAATAGTTATGACTATAGTCTTAATAGTCACGTCCGAGCCGAGCTCCATAGGCTCGGATCCGAGCTCCATAGGATGGGAGCCGAGCTCCCTAGGATCGGAGCCAGCTCCATAGGCTCGGAGCCGAGCTTCCTAGGCTCGGAGCCAGCTCCATAGGCTTGGAGCCAGCTCCATAGGCTCTGAGCCAGCTCCGTAGGCTCGGAGCAGAGGCTCCATAGGTTCAGAGCCGTCTTCATAGGCTAGGGAGTTCGGCTCCGAGTCTATGGAGCTCGGCTCCGAGCGAATGGAGCTCGGCTCCGAGCGTGTGGAGTTTGGCTCCGAGCCTATGGAACTGGCTCCGAGCCTATGAAGCCTCTGCTCGGAGCCTATGGAGCTGGCTCAGGCCTAGGGGGCTCGGCTCCAAGCCTATGGAGCTCGGCTCGGACGTGACTATTAAGACTATAGTCATGACTATTAAAACTATAGTCATGATTATTAAGACTATAGTCATCACTATTAAGACTATAGTCATGACTATTAAGACTATAGTCAAGACTATGAACTATCTAGAGTGGCTCCAAGCTATTGAGAACTCGGCTACGAGCTATTTAGAGTGACTCCAAGCCTGTCGAGAGTATCATACAATATCTTAGGATGTCAATATCTTAAGGATCGAATCATGCGGTATCTTAATTAAGATGTCCTGCAGTATCTTAGCATATCAAAATCTTAGGATATCGTTCAGTATCTTAGGATATCAATATCTCAGGATATCAATATCTTAGGATATCAATATCTTAGAATATTATACAGTATCTTAGGATATCATACAGTATCTTAGGATATATCACGCAGTATCTTAGAATATCAATATCTCGGATGATGAAAGCAGCCACAATGATGAAAGCAGCCACCATGACGAATCGGATAATGTAACGTCTCAAACAAGTGACGATATATATTAGAAGCATAACTTTGTAAAACATTTTGAAGAAATAAATGTATTTTAAAAGTGAAATCTTGTGCAAACTTTTGCCTGCAAAGCCACTCACCTGATTTTAAGGTAATAAATAATCCCTATCTATCCATAATAAGCACTTAAGAGATTAAAATTTTGCTTGTAGTCCATTAATGACTGTTAATGATTTTGGCGGTACATGTTTTAGAGAGCAACAGGCGGCAGAATTTCGATATATCTTGCGTATAATCTGTAATAACTCTTTGTTCGTTCCTATTTTTTTCCCGTCTCAAGCTCGCTGGGTGAAATAAAAAAAATTGAATATATCCAAACGGGGTGGGCGGGTTAATCACTTTTTAATGATTCTGTAATATGCAAATATCGACCATAACAACGGCGTTGACAACGATTTTAACTTGGGCTTAGCAACTACTTAGTTCTGTTTAAAAATTTTCACATGTATATGTCTGGATTTTTATTATTCCTTGTTTAATAATCCTAAACATGGTGAATACATCCCCAGGGAAAACCAAGGATGGTGTTAAAGTAGTGGACACTCTAAGATAATCTGATAAAACCTTGTAATACGATGAATTCAAATACACCTTCTATACTCCATTTCTATTGTCGTTTTACAACAACTTTAGTAGAATATATATCAAGAATGTTTTGAAATATATTCAGTTTGTTAGAAGAAATATATGTGGTGGTAAATATTAGCAAAGTATTAAAGTGTAAATTAGTAATCATTGGTCCACACTCTTTAAATACATTACAAGCGCGTGTAATTGATACGAAATGATATCCTATAGGGCGGACCTCTAGTGCTCCACCCGATCCAGAACCCCTCTTCCCTATACTACTGGGATATGAGTGTTCTGGAATCTGGTTATAAGCGCCTGGACGATTTTGCATAATAGCTGTCGAACACTAAACATGTAAACAGCAGATCTAAATATAAATGCCTTCATGTATATCACCAGAAAGAAATAAAGCTATCCTTACCTGCATAATTATTCAAAATATTGCCGATCCGGCATTTGCATCGTAAAAATACAACATACTGCATGTAAATAAGCTCGTAACTGAAATCCTGAGAAAAATTTTGCAAACGCAATGCAAAATAAAATTTCACCGCTCCCTTCCGCTCGGCTATTTGCACCCGGTGAAAGGAAAGCATTAGCCAAGTCTAAAATTCATCAAGAATCGCGGACGCATGGCTATGCGTGAGTGGTCATCTCACTGATCTTAAAAATATAGCTGTTTGTCATGAATGAAGTAAGCAAAGATTAAAAAACATGCATGACAGAAAGCTTTGGACATCTTTTACACAATAAGTTATAAATCACCTTTTTGAAATTTTGAAGAAACAATAAGTATGAGATATCCTGAAGTATAGGGTAAGTTTGTTTTTATTGTTTATGTATGATTCTGCTGTCCAATTTTTGCCTGTGAAGGCCTTGAACATGTACAGCTTTCCTTTTCACTCTATGTGAAAGGTTATTTGAATTAACTTGGTTAGTTAATTTTTTATAAAAGCTCAAAAAAAGGAGAAAATTATTTTCAAGAGCGACCTGTATGCTTTAAAATTATTTCATTTCAAAGTACAAGTATTTTAAAATTGGCAAAAAGCAGTTAATTTCAATGAACATTTAAAAACCTTTTACGAAGCGTTTCGTGTTGAATTTCACATTGCAACAAAGCAAATAGAAAGCAAAATAACATACCTACTTTATATATGTTAGACATTGATAGTTCCGTGGTTACAAGTGTAAAATATTTATTTATTTTTGCAGTTTTGTATGGCGTTCCGTTCCGGTCAAAATTATTTCAAATCAATAAGTAATATTCAATCATCATAATTTTATCAGCATGTTATAACTCTCAATATATTGTTGAAAATATCAAGATAAAATTCAAACTCACATGAATAAAACAAAAGTACTAACTTCTATTTATAATACGAAACGCCAAATGATAAGTCAAAGCCGCGTCTTATAAGTTATAAAAATAAATCGCAAGTCAAAAATATAAATCGAAAGGAAACTGAAGTAAGCAACTAAAAATACAGAGCAAGTCAGGAAACGGAAGTGAGCCTATGAACGTAAATAAGCAATATGGCTGGCGTATAAAGGAAGTCAGCTTAACGATTTCGAAAACATTGCAGAATTCTTTCGCTCTTTACCAACATTGCTCAGCCCGTCTTTTAACAATAACATTTCTTATGATTCATGTTAAAAATGCTTCTAAACGGTCGTTATAATCACTCTTTGCTTTATTGGATTTATAAAATAAATTATATTAAGAACGAGCTGAGTTGTTGTACTTGTTATCAGAATAGGGGGCCCCAGGGACAGCTTGGCAAATGCTAATGAGGGCATTTGTATCA